GGGGAAGACTCATAATAAAAAATATTTCACAAATACAAGTTTTTATCAAAGTCAGCTGTTTAAAAGGATTTTTATTGCACCTGTCATACGATTTATCAAATTTTGATATCATAAGTGATATTTTGAAGTGGAAAGTCATTCAGTTATTGGTTAATATCGACAAATTTGAACTCCCAATCGGCCATGGAAAGGTATAAATCTATATACACAGCTATGGATATAAAAAAACAGGTAATGTATTAAAATACCACCATTATGTTAGAAATATATTCTCATGTATGTATATAACTTGAATGTCTACAGATTTAAAAATAAAAAGCAGCCGTCCAGCAACTAGTAGGTTCCTAAGCCCATGTTTGTAATGTTTTGGGCTATTAAATAATGTTTGTAATGTTTTGGGCTAATTAAAAACATTTAAAAAAATAACTTAAAACCAAACATAGTAAAAGTTTAAAAATTTGATAACTACATATAGCTATTAAAGCATACAACGTTTCGTTTTTTACAATACAACATCTTCAGAGCCATAAATGTTATCTATTAATTTTTTTACTTCAATTATGTTTGGTGCAATTGTGCCCTGCTTTTTATCTTTAAACTCTTTAAGTGGAAATGCACCCTACTTTAGTATTTTATTCTGTCTGACACCATACAATTTTACTAGTCAAGTGGAGAGTGCTGGCACTCAATTGGTTAAATGAAGATTTCCATCTGGTGTATCAATTAGCCTTTCTCACAAAGGTTTAAATCCACCATTTTTGGGTACTATTTTATAAACAAATTAATGTGAAAAATCTAAGCAATATGAAAACAATTTTTCAAATATTTAACTGTAAATTGATTGAGGCCACTCCAAATTAGACCTTAGTTTCCCATCCGGCCCTTATTTCAAATAACATGCGAAAGATAAACCATGACATTATACCATGAAATAGATATGCATTTTAAATATCCATTCAGCCACATTTCTATGCAATGTTTTACAGTAGATTTTTATAGTTTTTACATTTACAGTATTTAAAATTTGCCATACCAGTATAAGTTAGGATAATTTACTTGAATCGACAGTATCTAATGTAGCTTCGAATACACAACAGTCATATATGCTAACAAGAGAATTTGGCAGGTAAACTTGTTGGCCCATTATATGACAACACTGACAATATCTCCTTGTCAAGTAAAATCGTCTGGCATTAGATCGAGTATGGTAATTACTTTAAGAGTAAATTTCTCTACATTCCCAATACGTATACAATGGTTATTGACTTCTACCTAATTCTGTCTGGTTCATCATGGCATGCTTCATCTTGTTCTTCCAAATCACCATCTGAATCTTCAGTTGTTGGTTGATGGGTGATGGGATCTTCTTTGTCTGGGTCTGGGGTGACAAATTGGTCAACAAATGCACCAAAAACTCTGTTGAAGTACTCCAATTTTCTTTCTTTTTCCATGTGGATGATTCCATGTGGATGAAGAATGTAAGCTTTCCCGACGCTTAACAGGAACAGTTCTGAGCCTTCATACGACTTGCATGGTCACCTTTTCCGGTGTTACATTCCGTCGGTTGTATTTTTCTCGGAAGAACTTCAAAGTGCCTACTTCTCTAACTGACCCAGGCTTGTGAAGCAAGTTGTAAACAAACTAAATATGCAAATAAATGAGTAAACATTATATTGGTAATAATAATATCTTGGACTGGTATAATATAATATATAACATTATCCTATTAAGTGGCAATGCACTCCAATTCACCCTGATGTTTTTTTTCTGTACTCTATCTAACGCCAGGTGATTTTACTCAGCAAGTGGAGTGTGTGGAGACCATTGCATTTGCAGCTTAATGGACTAGACCTCTGGGATTATACAGTATTCATAATTGTTAGTGCAGTAATGTAGTTAACATGTAAACCATACCACAATTTTGTTTTATTACCATCTAATACTTTGGAGGGATGAGAACAAATTGTGGGTTTATGTCTAACAAGATTTAAAAAATAACGGGAAGGAGCAAGGGCTTGCTTGTTTACAAGGTTGTATTTTTAAATCCACATTAAGCTGCACTGTGTTTGTTTTAAAAAAAAATGTTTGTTATTAGACAGAGTCAAATCACCTGGTGTTAAGCCAAGTAAAATTATAAAGTCAAACGTTGCATTGCACTTCATATGAATTAATCAAACCTTACACCAATTGTAGTCAATTGGCAAATGGCTTGTTCCCCTTATTATCTGAATATAACTATTTCAGATCCATCCCCGGAGATGTGAAAAACTAACTTCACATTAATGCACTATCAGCATACGTTTCTGACATGTAATTGCATAATGAAAAAAAAACTCACAAGTATCATGGTAGTTGTATTCAGCAAACGCAATAAGGGGAACTGGCCATTCCAATTACTTTCATCACATTCGATATTTACAGCATGATTATTTTTCTCAATACCTGTAGGTATGACATCTTAGTGTGGAATAACTCTGAGACAAATGGACTGCAGTGATCCAGTCTCTCTTTGGCAGTATGTGATCCAGCTCGCAAGTCCTTTGCTCCACAAACCTGACTCGGGTCATCTGATCACCACCAAATGGAACTGATACGACTTTCATATGCTCACTTTCATCCACCCTATTGTAATGCACTCTCGGTTGATCTGGTAATGACGACTGCCCTTCAATCGATACGGGTTGTTGTTGCTTCTGCTTGGCTGGTTTCTCGATAACTTTCGCCTTGGTGTAACTATCCTCCATTCCAGCTCGTTTTCATAATAATCGAGGATGTCAACTATGTCGCTGTACTTCTTCTCGTCTTTCAGCTGCATGGGCAGAGGAACAATGATCGATTTTTCTGACATCTCTTTCTGGTATTTATGGGGAATGTGTTCTGTTATCACACTCTTGAAGAACGATAAACTTTGGATACCAGCGACAAGGACTCTTCCAACCAACACTTTAAAATCTTCCCGTAGCTTAATTTCTTCTTCGTCACTAAGTAGGAAAACTGAGTGCGGAAGCTTTATGATATCTCTTCGAGGTGCATTTGGTGAAAGATTTTGGCATGGCACTCTTTCAACAATCGGGTTGGATGCAAAGTAATGAAGATCTTGATTCTGATGGAAGGATTGCATCTCATGAACATGAATCTTCATATCCCAGTTATCACCAGTGCCTTGCAGATTCTTACCGTCCTTAACAGCTTTAATGACACTGTCTGAATAGTGGTTGCCAATTATATCTAAAAGATTGGTCTTGCTTTGATGCGACAAGGAGAAACCCATTTTTTGACATTGTCTGCCCTTACGAAAATCAACACTATTTTAACCCTATTTTATCCCTATTTTACTTTCTATTTTATTCCTATAGAAAAGCTATTTTATTTTTTTTTGAAACAAAAAATAGCCTATTTTAAATAGATTTTATTTTTCTGAATCGGTGAAGCACAGATTAAAATAGGTTTAAAATAGGATATAATATATTTAAAATAGAGTGCAAAATAGAAATAAAATAATAAAGTAAAGTGAAGCATTGGTAATAAAATAGATTTTAAATATACATAAAATAGGTTAAAAATAGTCGAAAATACATATAAAATAGTGGATCAACTGCAGTATATTAACTAAAAATAGTAATAAAATTACTTCAAAAATAGCAATAAAATAGTTTAAAAATATGAATAAAATACTGATAAAATAGTAATAAAATAGTAGAATTTAAAATACTGATAAAATAGCGAACCAAATAGTAAAAAAATAGTTCAAAATTCTTATAAAATAGTATAATAGTAATAAAATAGTTATAAAATAGTTATAAAATAACAATAAAATAGCTATATAAAAATAGTAGCACTGTAACATAGTTACTTTATAAAGTAATAAAATTGTAGTATGATAATTAAAACCAGTTAAAAAATAGTAATGAAATAATATCAAATTAGCTGAAAACTAGCAATGCAGTACCATGGTTGACAGGTATATTATCGTTTAAAATTGTATAAAATAATACACATAAAACAGTTTGTATTCTTATTAGCTGTCAATGCTAGGTTGTGGCAGTTTAAGGGCGGCAGGGGTGAATGTGGCAGTTTAAGCAGTGTCAAATCAATGGCATTGTTTACCACAGTCAGAGTTACCAACGTTTGAGTAACTGTAAGGAATCTATTACACGATTGGGTTTCAAATCAATTGCAGGATGAGCAGTCTAGTAGTCTACTAGCAGTTAGACCCATGCCACCAAGCATCTTGCAGATCAAGCAGTTATTGCCAATACATGCGAGCTTAATTGTCAGTATTAAAAGGTGAAAAATGGGCAAGCAGACCATAGTCGATAAGCAAAATTGTCTAGCTTGAGACCTCACAGTTAAATATTGTGTGCAGAACTTAAAGTAGGGAGTGTTAAGGAAAATTACATCTAAATATGTCAACATGAAACATCATGGGCATGAAACATCATGAGTCTAGCTGGACACTTTCCTTGGCAAATAAAATTGTCCAACATTAGGCAAGATACAAAAACATTTAAATATTAACAAACTGCTGAAAATTGGGCACTTCGCAGTGAAATGGGTAATTTTATTTAAAAAAAATATTAGTTCACCCTTGTCGTGACTTGCCGGGGTGTCTCTAAAGATATATATAAAATGTAGCCCAAAGGTTGTTACATATATTATTAAGCAGATCATGCAGGTGGTATAGCTAAATGTATTCATATATTATAAACTTTGAACAAGCAAACAAAGGACTTTGACTGTTTCCAGTTAGAGCACTTCCATAATCAAGTTGCCACACAACAAATTGATCAAATTGACATTTTTACCTATTAACCGACCCACCCGGCATTAAAAAATTCAAGCATGGCATACAAAGGAAATTGAAATAGACCACTTCGGCGGTTTTGTGTTAAGTGGAAACACGTGCTCGAGAAATCGGAAACTCGGACAAACATGGCGGAGCGTAATAGAACAATATAGAATGGTTACGACTAAAAAGTGCGCTTGGGGTACTTGTAAAAGCGATTCACGGTATCCTGATCGGTTAAAACGAAACAGTAATGGAGCTGATATCTTTTTTTTACATTTTCCTGGGACTAAATACCATAGCGCAAAGCGAGAGCACTGGATACGTGCATGCCACAGAGGCGATGGATTTGTATGTACGAAGGATAGTTATATATGTAGCCTTCATTTTGTTGGACAAAATGGTCCTACTGAAGAACATCCAGACCCTGTATCAGCATTAACTAGTACGGAAAATGTAAGTACTAATCCTTATCTCCGCCTAGCACATAAACGCAGCATTAAAATGCATACGATATGTAAATATCTATATTATCCCTTGACCTTTGTTGTTCATCAGACCATGTCGTGTATTTGTAACACGAGGGCTAGAGTCATGGCTTATAATTCGTATCTAAATTCTGTAGGCTGAAAAAATGAAAAAAACGGAAAGAACCAGCGCCAAGGATATATACCCAGCCAATCAAGCGAATTCGCATCTCGAAAATAGATGCAGCTGAGACACTTTTATCCTTAAGTGAAATGGAACCGGCCAACAGTCCGCAAACCAATAACAGCAATCGACTGTTTGATGAAAACTTGTCACCTCGCATTAGTTCTGATTCTGATTGTTTGAAGGAAAAGGATGCTGTTGTTCAGACAAACATAACTTTGGAACACATAAAAACATATTCCACTGAGTGTCTAATCAGCACTACTGAGATGGAAAGATGTTTGTTCATGAAAAATGTGGCTAATGATACACTTCATTATACAGGTAAGATTAATAAAATTATAAGTGTGTTTTTGTTTCACACAATGCCAGAGAGTGTAGAGCAAATAGCATAATGTAACTTACCTGAAGGGTCTTTATATTCAGGTGATTTCACCTTTTTAGGATGAAACTACCATGGTGAATGCATAATGAGGTAATTAAATAAAACTGTATTATATTTTATAGGCCTATCATGGGAATGCATTCAAATGCTACATGATTTTGTGAAAGAAAAGGCCACACGACTCATTAAATGAAAGGGAAAAAGAAGACAGCCAAATATAAACACGGAAAGAAGAATGATGCCCAGGTAAAGAGACTTTTAGATAGGTTTATTGCAATATATATTATACACAATTCCCCCAAGTACATGGTACTATAAGATATTCCTCATATTCGGTCATTAGACAAATGATGAGATTTATTTTAGGTCCATGCATGGACATGCGTACTGATAATTTCATTTTAATGAAATACATTGTATTTTTCTGCAGACTTACAAAACCAGTAAATGGGCTAAACTTTCCACATATGAGTAACTTGTGTTTACATTGGTCAGAATCAAAAGATGTCCAAGTCTCAAGATGTTATGTGATTTATTTGGCATATCACAAAGTGTCGGGAGCAGTTTGTTCATAACATGGGTGTTGTTCCTTGAAAAAGAGTTACAATTATTTGTTCCTTTTTCTACCTTGAAAGACATGGAAGGAATAAATCGGCCCGAGGTTTATCAAAGAAATCCTGGTCTTCGAGCAATAATTGATTGCACTGAATTTTATATACAAAAACCTTCCCTACCATCAAGTCAGCGACGTACACACAGCAGCTATAAGGGCGGAAACACCTTTAAACTGTTCATTGCTATTTCACCAGTACTGCATATTAACTATATTTCCAGATTATATAATGGTTGCATAAGTGACAAAGAAATTACAAGGAAATGTGGATTTCTTGAATTACTCGAACCAGGTGATGAAGTAATGGCTGATAAAGGTTTCAACATACAAGATTTACTTGCACTACATCATGTACGCTTAATTGCACCACCCATTATGTACAAAGGTAACATTGGTACTCACACAGCAACAATGACAAGGCGAGTGGCAACGAAGAGAATCCATGTTGAAAGAATTATACGAAGTTTAAAGTCATTCGGTATCTTACAAGGTGTAATACCATTGACTATGAAGTCATATATTGATTCAATAATAGCTGTTTGTGCAGCATTTGTAAATTTGCAACCAAAAATTATTGCACAAAATTCAGAACATTGAGACAATGTACCTGTACCTAGTTATTATTCATTCTATTAACATATCATGATTATATTGGGTAATTACATTTTATATTTGAATCACAAGAATTTTGTCAAGGTAAAGTTAAAAAAGATGAAATTAGTAATAGACCTTATGCATAATTACGTCACGACTCACAAGGCTTGATTTCCCAGTGAGGAATGCTGGTCTTAGTAGTTATCACCCGGGAAAATTAAACAATTCAAAATGGCCACCATCAAAATTTTCCCAGGCTTATAATTGACTACTAAGACCGATAGTGAGAATAGGTCTATTGACCGGTCTATTCAGGATCTGTGTAGATCAAACAATGTTTGCAGTGTTCTGTGCCAGTGTTGTCTTTCAGTTGTAGCATCCTCTACTGTAAACCATTTATGCACTGCAGTAACATATTCTTCTGGATGTTCTTCATATTTTTCAATATCCTTAAATTATAGGATGGGTAATGAGCATAGTAAATTATACCTCTTTAGAGAACATATATTATTTTTGTATGTGGTGTTATGCATACATGTTTGTGATGTTACTCTGAGCGAACATATCCACACCGGGAAAGCTGAAAAGTTTGCTTTACCTGAGGTCGCGGGTTCAATCCCCATCGCGGTCAAGCAAACTTTTCAGCTATGTTATTTATTATACATTACCTTTAGAAAATGTTTGATAAACAGTGATACATGAACAGCACAGTTATTCGAATCGATCTCTTGCTGTGGGACCTACAATATAATAGAATGCATTTGATTTGTTGCTGAATACTGTAGATATACTTTGTATAGTCATGTTTAAAAGTTCATATTATCACCATTAAGTGAACATGCACCTACCTTTAAAATCTGATTAGAGCGATGTATTCTCTTGATGGTGCTTTGTTTTTCAAACAGATAGTCTATGTATCTTAAAAATAAAAAGACTACATTTCAGTAATTCTACCAATTTAACTGTGAAATTGTTTTGAGATACCATACAATAGCATGTACCGTGAAATGTAGTCAAACTCTGATTTCCTAATGTCCATATCCCAGGTCAATGAGTCCAGTATGAGAATGTGCCTAATTGAAATAATATTATTATGTACGGTATATGCAATCAAGTCATATGAAACAATTAAAAATTACCGTGGTGATATAATAACCAGAAACCAGTGAAGGCTGCAAAACAAAAACAATCTATTTAGTACTAGTACAAAAACAACTCTACATGTTTCCCATGAACATTATTCCTTTTCTGATGTTATACCATTACGTGCCAACTGGTACTCTCCTCTTGATGAGTGAAATCGTCTGGCATTTAGACAGAGATGACATATATTACCTTCTATTGACAGGAACAAACACATAATCTTTTTCAAGTAAATTAGCTTTGAAAAATTGTTCTGCAGCTTGATTCCTTTCCAATCTAAATAATTATCAAATATACACAATATAACAATTATAGACAAACAACTAGGTAATATTATATAATATGTGTTGGCTTCTGAACCTGGTTGATGTTCGCACTCTCAAGTCCTGATCTCCAACAAGAATTGAATAAAACAAAGTGTCAATAACAGGGAATTCACAGCAGTGATCACTGAAATATAAATTTAATGCAAAGTTTGATAAAATTCTTAATCTTTAACATCTTTAAATTGTATAATATTTTATATATACCTTATCATTACAGATAGACTTGTATCTGTTATAAGTTCTCCTGGTTTCAGGCTATAGATGTCCTCTTCCCTTACATCAAATCCAAATAAGACCATAGACTTTTTCTGGCTATTGACGTTTGCCTTCGATATTTGTTCAACATCAACAGTTTTAATGTCTATATAAATTAGGAAATGAAATAATGTGAATTGCCACTTAACCCATTGAGAGAGCAAGGCAGGTGGCAATTACTTTACATACATGTAAAAACTGTTATACCTGTTTCACATGCAAAGGATGACATCTTTTCACTGGTATCCACCACATTTTGTTTCTCAGAACATTTATTTTCTGTCCTTGTATTTTCAAAATCTAATAAAGGCATTATATAAATCCATCTGATTAATACTGAATCAGTTATTATTTTTAACCATATGTGCTCATTTTTATATTGGATTATCAGGCACACTTTGGCATAATGGATCAATCACTTGTACTTCAATTTATTAAATGAAATAATATAATTTATAATACCAGTCTCATGTTCCAATGATGCAACCGTGCAATTTGTTTTTACATCTTGTTTGTCAGCATTTTTCTTTTTTGTTGTCTTTCGTCTATATAAAGACATAAATACCATGGAATACCATTACTGGCAGTACATGTATTAAGACAAACATGAGAAACAAGCTAATCATAGTTTTGACTAGCAAAGATCTTGTGCCCTAATGCACCCTACTTAATTACCATTTTACTCTGTCTAATGCCAGATAATTTTACTTGTCAAGGGAAGAGTGTTGCCACTCAATGGGTAGCCTGCGTAGCAGGCGTTTAGTGCGGGCGGGAGAAGAAAGGGTGTTGCCGTCAGCTAAACGCCTGCTACGCAGGCTACTCAATGGGTTAACCAGATTATTTGTCCATGCATCGTGTTAAGTAATATTAAACCATTTATGCCAAACAGTTTCCTTAACAAGGAATATTATTTTTTTTAATATTGGCATTATACACAGTACAACTATTGGGTGCATTAGGGGACATTTTGGCTTAATACACATGAGATACTATTATATCACACTAAATTCTTACCTGATGGTTTGGAATAACTGTGGAAACTTTCCATCATGTGTGGAACAACCTTTGTTAGCCAGAATCTTTTAAGCTTGATGCAAATCTTCTCAATGAACAAGGGAGCGTAAGATATATGGTGACAGAAAATGCCTTTTTGTGTCCACACTACCAAATCACACTCATCCAATTCTGCTACATGCATTTGCAACTGAATTTGATAATAGTAGCGAGAATTTTGCTTCAGTGAAAATATGTCATTTTGCCAAATACCACCAATTTCAGGTTGCAGAAAAGCTTCTTTTGGATCAAGATCTTTGTGTGACCACGGACACTTGTACTCGACTACAACATTATTACATGGAGGCATACATTTACAACTTGTAATGTTGTCTGGGCTTGCCCCAAGAAAAGGCTTTGTTCTTGAAATCATGAAGCCTTGGGAAATTAAAGTGAGTTGCTTGTGTTTACTTGCTTCTAATTTGTAGTTAGCCTGCGAACAGGCTCTCAAGCTGAATTGAGAGCCTGCATCGATGACTAATGAATTTGAATATCTGCCCCGTAACGTTCGTTTTTCCAAATATGGAATGTCTATCCTTATATGGTGTTGTTTACAACTTTCGTGCAAACTAAATTTAGACCGTGCAAACTAAATTTAGATCGTACAGTTTATACTGTTTTTCCAAATATAAGATATTCAAGCAAAAGTTCAAATGTTTTAAACACTGTTTTCTCAAAACAGAACATTTCGTGCTTTGAGATAAGACGGCCAAGACCAATTTGATCAGTTAATGTGTTTTTTATGCATAGTGCTTCAGCAGTTGACATATATAGAGCTCAGCGGAAACATATAAATTATAGCATTTGACCAATGAGAATTTCGCGTCACGATTTGAGACGCAGATATTCAAATTCATTAGTCATCGGATGCAGGCTCTCAATTCAGCTTGAGATCCTGTTCGCAGGCTAATTTGTAGTAGGCTTTCCTTGCACTGTCTTCATGCTTAAGTCCCCAGTCCAATGGATTTTTGGGGTCTTCTACAATATGTTGTCTTATCGGATAACAAACTTTCTTCTCAGTCAATGATTTCACCAGAATAGATGCATCAGTTTCATTTACTCTCTCAACAGAAATCTGCCTTGTATAGACATTCTTAGCTTTTGAGGCAGTTATAAATCCTCTCTTGTGTGCATACCATTGCTTACATTGCCATTGTTTTTTGGTGACAGAAGCGACATTGTGTATCTCTTGCTCAGTAAACTCAAGATCATCCATAAAACTCTCTGCATTTGCTTGGTTTTTATTTTTCAAATGTTGTATGATCTTCTTCTCCATTATACCATGTTCTGATTCCTCATCTGATGTTGTGCAAGTATCGGTGCTTATTTCCTTACTTGTACCTGCACCACACAGATTTTTTTCCAAAATGGAAAAGATTGCTGGGCTCTCCTTTATTCCCTGCATAGTTGTTACCAGGGAGGCAAGTTGTTCTGGTGTAATAGGGCTCCTGTCCGAAACAGTACGTGGGTCATGGTCAATATATTGGGAAAATGTATAGGCTCGGTTCCTTTTCCTATTTGAGGTCTCGTGATCTTTAAGCCCCCTTTTCCTAACTTGTAGGTCTTTTAGTTCACATGGTGTTGTATCGGGCTTTGATCTCCGAATCCATTGACAAGGCTTACTTGTTACACTTTCCTCTCCTTTAGTATTCAGAAGATCATCAAGTGAATACAAAGCAGCTGCAACATGCTTACACCCACCATCTCTTCCTCCAAGACAAACACAATAAGCATTGATCACACTTCCACGATTGGGCCCTTTTCCTTCTAAAACAAACCATGAGTCGTAAAACTCTTTGCCATCTTTAGTTTTCTCCTTCATTGTAGGTTTAACCTTGCTGACATACACATGAACACCAGCATCTTGCCTGTATGCAGTCAACAATGATTCAACATACCCATCGTAAAACAAACGGTAGTTTTCGTATGATTTATAAGCTGCTAGGCCTTGCTTGTCATTTTCTGACGAGTGATATATTAGATGATTAAATATATCAAACAAACCAAAGGGTGGAGAATGCTTAAAATCGTTTAAAACATTCGTTTTAAAAGGATCAGGCAGCTGAACATCATGAACTCTCAAACGACGGTTTATATTTAACTGTTCTTGGGCTTCGCTGACTTGAAAAACCAATGGAAGACTCATTTCTTCGACGGCACAAGCAATAGCTACGAGTCCGGGTTTGAGGTAACTGTTAACCGTAATTCCTCGATTTTGTAAGTACGCTTTGAGCTCCGGCAGCTTCATGGCTTTAAATTTCTCCTCTCGTGACATATTTTCCATTTTGACTGTTGTTTCGTGACGAAAGAGAGCAAATTTATCTATTAAATGGGCGAAACATTTGTGTGTTTTGAATAGCATTTGTATTACGCTCCGCCATGTTTGTCCGAGTTTCCGATTTCTCGAGCACGTGTTTCCACTTAACACAAAACCGCCGAAGTGGTCTATTAACCCTCTATACCCATTCCATTGATATCCTAGTGCATTGTACTATTACCCTCTGATGTTAGACATGGTAAAATCAAACAGCACTGAAAGAATCCAGCTTTGATGCAACCAACACCTGTTGTTAGACTGAGGGTGAAAAAAAATTAAAGTAGGGTATATAAGTGCTATAATGGTAAAGTGCATGAGACATCCTTTTCCGGCTGATAATGTCAGCAAATATACTAGATAGATATAAGTAGAATATAATATAATGAAATGTCTTGCAAATATAACGACATATCTTGTGAAACACTGGTGAAGGTGAATCATATTTGATTCAAAACATACAGTTTTTATAAATTGTGTGTTAATTACTGTATTATATATATATTATATATATAATGCACTCCTTATTCAGAATAACTTTTATTCTATGACTATTGTAACTGAGACATGCACATTTAGCTGGGATATGCCTAGGTATTTATAAGCATATAAAGAATTGAGGATTGAAACTTGAGTAGACACGATGGTTGGTTGCTATGCAGTTTGCTCCCGGAGTCAATTTGCGATTGTTGTTAGTTTCCGGTCTCCTAGCTGTGATTTAAGGCGCGGTTAACATACCGCATCTTTAGCGCTCTCGTTTGCGTTTACTTTCAAACATTTTTAAAACAATACTTGCCCAATTAGTCCTTACTTGAACCGTTTAAAGATATTGCAGCGCAAACTAGTCACAGGACAAATGCAAAGTGGTAAATTATGGTGTTATTATTGGCATGTATTTTCGCATTCCGGTCGAAGGATATTCCGCCCACAAGGACAAATTCTACCATCTAGGGGTCCCACAGCACCACACGTGTGTGCCCTACAATCCCCCTTTGAAAACCCCCCTGGATTTATAGTATTGCCAGAATTATAAGCGAAAATAGCTGAAAATTCCGCATTTTTCGTTTTATTTTTCAAATATTTTTGCTAAAACGTAAATCTGGAGACACTTCCCAAATCAAAGTTGAAGAATATCATTTGTTGAAGAATATCATTTATTGAAGAACTTCTAACGGTTAGCAGTAACGAAGAAAGGTGAGGAGAAAATATCCTTCGGCAAACTCATTTGCATTATTAGTGTATTCGTGACTCCGCCATATTGTTGCTTCACAACCCGCTGTCTTGTCTTTCTAACTCGATAGATTATTGCTGTAAAAGTCAAACGTGTGATGGAAATAAAGGAAACCAGCAAAATCCAACAAACAGAGACCACTTGCGGATAGGTTTTGGAAAAAATCTCCGTTCTTTAAGCTCAGAGAAGGCCAAGGAGATCTGTCACGCAAGTCACACGAGGTTCATACTGTACTAAGTATAAACTGAGGTTAATTGAGCTTGGCCGAATTGGCATTGGAACCCAGCTTACTTAAGTTACTAAATAGTATATATAAGCTGTAGAACGGCTGGATATTTATAATTTGATTGTCAGTTTAATATAATATGTGATATCGAAATATTAAAATTACAACATAGGCCACAAGTTGTAGATTTTCAGTTAAAAGGCAGTCTGATTATATAAACCTATTATCTAATAGTAGCCAACACTTACCGGCCCATTTCAGGGGTAGAATTATCTGGTGTTTATAGCTTAGATATCGTAAAATACGAAAGCATATACACGATACATCAAGGGCCATAAAATGAGACTGATAGCCGAAACTACTGATTTATCTGCATGTATGCTTGTATTCTCATATTTGTTTACTTCGCCTCATACTGCGTGCCTTCAGTTAGCTGGTTTCTTTACTTCGATAAAAGCTTATCGTGTGGCTTACACAAGTTTTATTTACATTAATATAACTACAGAATACTGAGTTATAGTTTACAAAAGAAATCAGTTGCACATGCGTCTATTTAAGCTACGATCGGGGAGCCGTCTTCTCGCTAAAGGTCAATATAAAGACAACATGCCTTGGTAATCTGAGTCGTGAGAGTAGCAGACGTACTATATGATCCTCACGCAAAAACCATCATGAAAAGCACTTGGAATTGTAACTAAATGATAAAATTAAGTGTGCGCAAAGACATGAAATCTGTTTCTGGAAAAGCTGCGTATCTTAAGGAATTTAAATCACTGGTATACTGTAATACTATAATTTTATGTCGCTACAGATCAGTTGCGCAGCCGATTATAAACTGTAGTTTATTCTGCTATATATATGCTATATATATTGTCATCTATATATATGCTAAATCTGCTATATATATTGTCATCTATACAATGGAAGTATGTGTTTATATATCTCAAAATACATCATACACAAATATAAAATGAAAGCGTTTTATAATAGAACATATTCATCAAACAAATTCTTGCGTGAACAGAACTATAGTATAGCTAGATTTCTTGTCGCCAACCAAAACAGTCAGACGGTATATTACTTTAAATAGATATATACACTGTATTAGTATTAAGTAGCATCAGATAATTTTCCCCAAATTACTTACACATACTGCGGAAGAAACACGAATTTAGGCGAAAAGAGGAACAGTTTGTACACTGGTTTGCGTTCCGTAATATGAAAGAGAAACGATTTTACAGGAGGCGAATTTGATATACCGTCTAGAGCTATTCGACGGCAGTCCTAAGTAATAGATCCGATTCTTATTTGACAGCTAAATAAAATTATCACAATAGTTCCATTTAAATATTGAAGTATATAAACCAGTTAAAATATACCAAAAAAATTGTTCTAACAGTAAGAAATTTAAAGCTGGCGAAATACATGACCTTTCTGATCATAAAATAACACGACGCCATTTCGCCTTCACACCAACACCGCTGGAAAAAACGAAGCCCGCACTTCCGGGAGCAAAACACATAGCAACCGACCATCGTGAGATGCCAAGCTATAATATATTATTTAATTTTGATACAAGAAACACTGCCACTGGAATCTGTCATTATATTACACAACTATTAACTATTTGGCATTAGTTACTGTTTTGGAATGTTGACATTGTTTAAAATTTAATAAGTCCTACCCCCCCCCCCCCCCCCC